TATTATTATTATTATTATTAGTGTTATTGTTATTGTTCTTATTATTCAGATAGACATCATTACAAACTGGGAACAGGTAGTGCTATGTTATTGCCTGCCTACAGACGGTCATACGAATTACCTAGCAGCTTCCGTCTGAGATTACTTTTGACACCCGGAAGGGTGGTACTTACTGTATGTAAGTTCTGCAAACTTCGCGTCACTTTCACATCATGTTTTATATTGTGCAACAAAATCAGGAAGAACAGAGGAACTTTGTATTAGTAACTCGTTCCTTTTATTTTTTTTTTCTTTTTGGATGATTTATTTGAGACGTGACACTACAAGAAAGGGAGTTTATTGAAATCTGCCCGAGACAGAGCGGACGCAATACGTTGGAGCCTGTTGTCTATATATGCACTGACACCTGAAGAGCCTTATTTGTACTCAAAAGGAAACTGTTAAGATCGCACAACAGGAACGAAAACTAGTTAAAATAACTACCAGAAGTAAAACATACGTTTTACAACGAAGATTTAGGTGAGTAAAATGAAATTCAGATTATTTAAATTAATTAAATTAAATGTTCTAACTTTATAAAATATGTAGAGAAATGTTTGCATATCGTATGCATTTCGCAGCGTTAAATGCACTATGTACTTTAAACTTAACAATTAGGTAATTTATTCATGAATCTAATGTGATATGCTGCAAATATGACCTCGCTGTAGGTTCGCTCCATGTTTCACTTTTGAACAAAGCCAATAATACGCGTGATCCAAGTAAATGCTAATTTTTTTCTCATCTTTTTTCTTCCATGTATTTGCTGTGAAATGTAATTTAATATTTTATGTACGTGTGATTTAATTAAATCGACACTTCTGTTATTATTTTATTATTATCATCACCTTCGAGTCGATGACGAATAGATAATTAATGGCGATATACAGTAGATTTTAGAGAAACCTTTATTAGGCGACCAGAGAAAAGTTATGAAGTGTATTTTCTCTGTGTTTGAAGTGACATCTCAAGTGTTTAATGCCACTGTGTTAGAGATACTGTATGCAATATGGAAAAACAAGCGAATAATATTAAAAGAGCTTTAGTTAACTGGAACGTCATCTAGGCTTCTGGGGATCAATTCAAATATGATCTTCATTTTTAAACTAATAGACAACTTTTAATATACGCCTGGAAACTGGTGTTTAAAATAAGCAGAATTTATTCTTAAACTTCTGTTTAACTCGTGAAACCTGAATTTATTTGTGGAGTTTTTTGTATATAAATCTGAAATACCTTTGTGATGGGAATTATGTTGTATCATATTTTTATTTTAAGAAGGCGGTTGCGCTTCTTAAATTTAGGATACTTCAAGATATGTTGTACAACATTTCAAGTTTTATATGAAATAAGAAACCATATTAGTTTTGTCGAAGGTGAAAATTATTCAGGATTATTAAACAGTGCCTTTAAGCAAGTTAAGTTAAGCAAGCAAAGAGAATGTATATTTCAATCTTGCAATTAGGATTCATCCAGTTCCTGCAATACTATGGTTGACCTGAAGCAAAGATCATTTGAGAGACTTGGGCACTCAAAGCTTCCACCATTTCAGTTATGCTGCTCACATGGTTATCATTACAAGCTTCTGGAAGGGTAGACCTAAAGCTGAACGTGGTAAAATATGCTAGCAGGATGGATAACTGGGAGATAAAGGGGAAGACAATTAACAGTCTTTAGAAACCATGTAATTGAACTAGGACTGTCTACCTAGAATCACTACTTCTAATCCTTTTTAGGCACAGAAGTAACAAATGGAGTAATTCTTACTTTTGTTAAAGAATTGCTTTGCAGCCCACTGGCATCTCAAGAAAAATTAGTTGGAGAGCACCTTCATGTGGAAAGTGTTAATAAACCAGACAGACCAGGCCAGTCTGCTGTATTATTTCAGATTGGTTCTAGATTTGTGTGTGTAAAACATAGATTAAGATAATAGAATTCTAGTTTGTCTTTGTTTCTGCTTGATCTGGAAGACTTTATCCTTTCATTGGAGACTGCTTCTTAAATACCAAGATTATTTAAAGTGCATAGTGTTTTTTGCATGTTCTGTATAAGCCTTTTATTTAATCACTTAATTATATTATTCAGTTTCATTAGATTATTCTCCAGATTTCTAAATTATTTAATCTTTGTGCTGTACTACATCAGTGCTAGGGCAGACATGTTTTTAGAAAGTTTTCTCAAAGGTACCTTCGCAAGTGTGCCAAGGTGACAAAATTATTATTTGGTTTTGCATAAAACATTACAAAAAAGCTAAAACACTAATAATCTTCCCCATTGTATTTCCTGTCAGCTACTATGATACAATCAATTCAGTCAGGAACAACAGTCCAGAATGAAATCGAACACCTATTAAAAAGTATTCAGTACCAAAAGAAGTGAATTAATGTGATATTACAGATTGTGTAACCAAATCCTCCACTTTAAAAATGATGGTTCTCCATTTTCTTTTATATGCTTTTTATACAATGGTAAGCTGAATTCACCTTAGCCACTGCCATGTTTCATGCATATAGGCCATTGTGTATGTTTATTAAATGCTAATTCTGTACCTAATATACAGTGTATGTATGTACCATCAGTGCTACAACCTCAGTTTTTTTATCTTAATCCTTGGGACAGGTGTAATACTTAAGTGTAATTCTTGTAATAAAAGTAATGTTCAATCACAATGTATGTTTTCTTGATAGGCTTCCTGTAAATCCCTACCCACATGTTTTCAAAATGAAAGTGAACGGCAAGTAAACTAAAGGGAAGGTGCAATAATATTTACCATATGTAGAGTTCACTGGCCAAACAGTTTTTGAAGTAAAGTAGTTAGCAGAGCAGCATATATTTTGCCAAGCAGGTGATGGCATGCTGTGGGATAAAAAGTATTACTGCAGTATGTCATTTGTAAATCTGAAGCAAGTAGTAGTGTGGTGAAATCTGCCAAGTTTTCAAGTAAATCAGTGTTTTTATTGCTATGTTAGTGGCAGTTTGAAGTTTAAGATAAATGATGGTCAGACGGCCATCCTAGTTTGTACAACATGGTGCAATAGCGGAAACCCTGTTTCACCATATCATAATTACATTGTCACTACAATGAATGTTGCTGAGATTTAAATTTGACAAACAGTTTTTGGAGCAAAACATTTTTCACCAAGCATGTGATGATCTCGTAAATGTAACGGGAGCCGGTCCTGTAAAGTGCGTAGTTTAGGACCCCGTGCAGACGGTATAATCTGGAAGTGACTGGAGTAGGACACCGGGGGAAAGACAGCGGGATCAGGAAGGGATGACAGACGGGGGGGCTGTGATGGCAGTGATCCGTTGCTCGGAGGGCGTGGCGAAGGCGTACGTGTCCGAAACAGTCCAAAGGGGAAATCGGGGCGCAGTCCAAAATAGAATAGCCAGGAGGTCCATCTGAGACAAGGAACAGAGAACTTGGAACCAGGAACACAGAAGTTAAAATCAGAGTGACGAGGCCAGGTGCTCTGAACCCCGGACTCAGCTGGTCAGAACACCGTTTGTAAGCCGTTTGAAAGGGCAGTGCTGGTCGGAATACAAAGCATTCACAATCCCACCCAAAAGAATCCCCAAAACACTGATGCAGATTTCAAATACAGGCTAAGACTAAGTCATTTTGACTGCAATTATGCCAGAACCACAAATAATGTGCATGTAGCATAGAATGGATGAAACGTGGGTTTTATGCAAGCTTGAACTTGTTTGATCAAGTATATTTGGATATACAGTGAATGAAAAGCACATGTGCAGTAGGTGACAGAACACAAGTCAGTGAACAGGTGGCAGCCCTAGCAGCTACTAGCAGTAGTAGCACAACCTAGCCTGAGATTGGAACTCTGTGGGGGGCAGCAGAAAATGTTGCTGTGACCCAAAAGAGTAGCCTGATGTGAACACCATAAGAGAGCTGCTGCTTCCTGAGGTTTGCTAGATGGAATGGATGAGAACATTTTCCAAGTTGAACCCCCAAAAAAGATGGAATGTCATCTACAGTACACGTATGTGGCTGGACGCTTTGGGAAGGAAAAGAAATGAGGGCCAACGCTGACCAGTTGGATGCCAACCAAAAGAGGTGTAAATGGGGTGGACCACGCTTGCTGGACCACCGGTGCTAGGGGTATCGTGGGGATG